CTGGGACAGAGATTTTAATACCTCCGCCTGATAGCTCCGACCTGGGAGCTTTGTTTCTCTGAATCGCTGTGTTTAAAAGTAGCGGTGATTCATCGTTCTGACCCTGCAACTGTCATCTACACAAACGTATTTGCAATAGCTAAATGCTGTTTGGTAGTTTACGCCATTGCCAAGGCGAACGGTTCGCCGTTTGCTCGGACAGCCGGGCGCTCACTTATGGCTCTGAATAAGGAGACAGACATTAGTACCATATGAATACTCGGAAATATACTTTCATCGCTCCTATTTCTAACATATTCGAGGATTGATATACATATGCACTTTGAATAAAAGCCTTTAAGTGTAGACTGAAAGTTGCTTTACCTTTGAACCTTACTCATAAAGCCAGACAATTCTGATTTAATTCCTTAAATGCACAAACAGACTTTATTTGGAGAAGTAGGGTCTCAGATAAATATCTTATCATGAACGAAAAATTGCTTAATTATGGAGGACATGCTCAAATGTTGTAGTTGTAATTTTTAGAGCTTCACAAAAACGCTTATTGCACGAAAACTACTGGAGCGATATCAAAGAAAATTGTGGCGTTCCAAAGATGAAATTCCAAACCTATCGATATTCCATACAAAATCACTTCTTCATCATTTTGCAAACACGTGCTTGCGCTGGAAGTGAGAGAAGGAGACAAAGAGTATGTGCGTGTAGGTATTTCAGCTTTTGAGTAACAGATGGGGCAGTACTTATAACCTAATCGCAGTGTATGTATGTAAGTACATACATAGGTACATATGTTGGTTGCGGTTATTGTGGATCGGTTTTTTTTTAGTAATTTATGTATGTACATATGAATGCATAATACGCGAAAATTTCTTCGTCATATCAGATCTGTACGATTCGTTCGATTTTACAAAATAAGGTATCATAAAGGGCTTGGCCTGTGGATGTGCAATAACTTCTTTTTTTTTCAAAACGAGTTGCTCCTTGTTTAAAAAATTTAATTCAAATTATTTTTAAGTTGAGTTAATTATTACACTATAAGTATCGATCTAAATGGTTTTGAAAAAACTTTATTTCTTAATTATATGTAGAAAAATGTAAAAGTATATCCTGACATGGCTATCCGACGAAAGAGATTGGCCCGTAGTCATAGTCAAAATAAAGTCGACTTTAAAGTTAGTTGCAGCTTTTTTGACAGATATCCCATTGAAAATTATGTCAAAAAGCTGCAACTAACTTTAAAGTCGACTTTATTTTGACTATGACTATGGGCCATTGTGGTTTGAAAATATTTTGCAGAGGGTTGCCACCATGTTAAAAAGTTCGATTCAATATAAGCAATAGGTTAAATAAATGACTTCAATATGAATATAAATCAAAATTGCTTTGAAGAGACTTATTTCTCAACTGCATGTAAGAGGTTTGCCAACTGATTTTATACTTAAATTCAAGGTTTAACAAGAATTTAGTTTTAAAATATTTTGAATAGGGTTGCCATATGTTTTAAAATTGGAATTTAATATAAAGTAAGCATAAGCTAAATAAAATATTAAAATATGACGTGAAACGAAGGTGATACGATATCCTTAGTTTAAACATTTTGAGTAGGATTGCCACCTGTTTAAAAAGGTAAACTCAAATTATTTAATAAGTTAAAGCAATTATTAAAAATATGGGTGTCAATTAACAGTATTTGGGAGCGTTGTCACGTACTTAAAAACGCAAATTTAACTTAATTCATTAGGCACATGAAGTTTGTAGGTATCACAATATCAGACGCACAAGATTTTTTTATTTCTTAACTATATTTAGGAGGGTTGCCAGCTATTTCAGAAGTCTTACGAACACGAAGAAGAATACTAATACGGGGACCTAGGCTAATATAAAAAGTAATACAAATGTCTGCAGTATGAAAGGAGATAAAAATGAATCCAAGTAGTTATACACGTCATGTCAAATGTAAGTGGCTGATGGTACAAATGATTGAAGTTAATGTGAATTCGCTAATTATTATTATTTTGCAATTCATATTGATTTATTAAAGTCAA